CGAGAACTAAACATCAGTACACATTTGACAATAAGATTTCGGGCTCACAAACGATACGAATTCGATATTGGTTCATGCTAGGGGTACAGATCGTTAAAACGTAACTTGAGATGCAAGTCCCACATATAACTTGAATAGATTTTTCATACTCTCTTATGTGAAGGAAGACATTTCCATTACTAAAATATAAAAAGCCAATTTGTATCAATAGTGTCTGTATACATCCTGCCTGCATCTGCGTTTCCGAGTACAAATAATCCGATACATTACTTACACTTATTCTATTCGACCTAATAGCTTATGACTAAACACTCGAATGAACAGATTTATACAGGTACGAGTACAAAATTGCAATTGTGATAGATATTTAGATCGGAAGATTTTTGAATGAGTTTTTATCTTGAAATAAGTGAAGTTTCTAAAAGATAAACAATAAATATGATTCATTGAAGCTTATTATTAATATACTACTTTAAGGTAATGAACTACCTGTACCAACTTACCTGTACCTATTAAGGCGGTTATCATAGTTTGCTAAACTATTGAGGGCGGCATTTCGCATTTTACAATTAGTAACAGTATGATTATGGATATATTAACAATGGATGTGGACTAAATGGCTGCAGGCAGATAGCCTACAAAATGTCTGAATTGAAGTAAGCTTTTAAGCGAGCCTGCTTTAGCAAGATATGCCCAGAGCTAAAACCAACCATTGTTTGAAATTTATGCAACAACGATGTCCATAAAACAACAAGTGGACAAAATACTTTATCGGACACTTTCTTGTATCTATCCGGAGCACTTCCGATTTATCTAATTCGGCCAACTGAATTGTTGTCTGCGGAAAATATACACTAATTTGTCAGTTGCGAAACCGTGCAAAATATGTACCTATTTAGTTGGAATAGTACCTTTTAAACTTTTACAAAAACAAACTATTACAGTAACTATATCTGTTACATTTCTTGATCCATTAATAACGTAGGTGTGAGAAAAAAAACGAGCCTTACAGTAGTCGCGTATGATGTGTAACATTTGAAACCTCACCTTACATTAGTAAAAAAAGAAATAAAACCTACTACATAATGTTCAAATAACACATTTGAACATTATATTCTAAAATCAAATAGCGTGCGCTTTCGCGACTTCCTGTTATACACTTCCGTCCCATTTCACGAAATCACTTCCACAAATTGCAGGAAAGCGAGAAGAAAGATGTTACACATCAAAAAGGACTTTTTGTACTTTTCATAAATAAAATTCTCAAATTTAGCCGTCTACTTTTTTATGAAGCTGTTGATCTACACGATAAAAATAGGAACACATGATATTCAACATTCATATTTTGAACTGTATTCCAATTGCGACCAAACATAAATTAAAAATATTTTAAAATTTATTTGTTGTAAACAATAGACACGTGCTTAATCGAGAGTTTGTGTACCACCAAAATTCAGGCAATGCGCATATTTACGTTCAATAAGGTAGACACCAAATTTTTGTTTTTATTCGTACATAGATAGCGCAGTAACAAATTTTCCTTGTTAATCCCCAAGTAATCAACTTAATAAAATTAAAAATTATAATTAATATATTAACCTTACTCCGGTAGATTAAATAAATGCGAAACCATATCAACAAGACTTAAAACAATAACAATATTAATTGCATACCGATTCATAAAACGATAATGTCAAAATAAGTACATATGTACTTACATAAAGCATAAGCTGCAGATTGATAACGTCAGAAGGCGCTTGCATAGAAGCAAAGTTTGTTGAGGATAATGTTAGTTGTTGAGGAGGAAAATCGTGTTACACAATAATACAAGGTAGTTTGGTTCAAATGATATTTCAATAATTTTTAATATAGCTAATATTTCCGGAGAAATAGTGAAAATAATGCGTGACCACATTTTTACTCCTAATTATTATTGGGCGGCGGTAATGCGGCGTAAAGTTTATTTTCCTACAATACATATACATACTAAATAGATTACTATTATTATTGTGGAGTGGAATGTAGGTACACTGGTTGTCAAGGTGTCGCCTATTTTGAACTTCTAGGTTTGAATACCGGTAAGGGCAAATGTTTGTACTATAAGTAAGAGTTATATAGTATATTTTAATTTACTCGAATGGCTTCTTTGGGTAATATTGTGTTCGGGTGATATATAACTGTCTATAATGCGCACTTTAATAAAGTTTTTCGAACCTCTTTTATCCCTACGTTTCGACCAGATTACACCGGTCTACACGCTTACGAGGCGTGATCTATGCATTCGACATCAGAAGCGGTCTGTTACGTCTCCGCTTTCGATGACAAATGTCCACCAAATTATTTTCCCAACTACCCTTACACACAATACTAACGGTGGCTGTATTAGTGCGTTACCACACGGCACAGTTAAGTACGCGCAAGCCTCATTTTTATCGAAATCATTGGCGTGGAAACAATGTTTCCTAATGAAGAAACATTTCTTATGCTACTATTTTTTAAGTGTTTGCTATTAAAAAAAAAGACAACGCAAAAGTCAAAATTAAAGCGATCAAAAAAATTGTCAAAAACATGTAAAAACGATAGGTACTGTAGGTATGTACATAATATGTGCAAGTAGGTAGTAGGTATTAGGCATAGGTTTTTAGTTGCAAAAATTATGTTCTTACCTCTTTCATTTTATTTATCATTCTTTCGTAGGCGTCGTTTATTTTTATTTTGGTCGGAATAATCTTTAGATTTAATTTTCCAAAGTGCAGGCAGAGATTTGTATAAACTAATTAATTCAGACGTGAATTTGAGCTTGTACGTACGCAAATCTGCCATTTTTGAGTGACGATGACGAACGACCTCATGAAACGACGAGCGAGCCTCGACACAAAGTACACTAGACTGTGGCTTGAACACTGAACGCCCAACCACATGCACAGACAAGTACGCGCTGGCCGGGCTTGCGCAGGCAAAATTTCAAGCAAGTCGAAAAGTGCGCAGGCCGCGCTGTGGGGTTGGCGCGTGATACAGTTTTACAGCCTGCGCAGGCAAAACTGTGGTGAAGCTCGTGCGTGTGGTAGGCCCATTACGAATACGATTACCATTGGTGTTAAGGGTAGTTGAAAAAATAAAGTGTTGGTGGAGGAAGATTCGTCATTGGAAGCGGAGCCATAACAGCAATGCATCCTTCTTCTTCCTTGACCACGACTGTTGTCGAAACGTCGGGGTAAAGAAAATACGAAAGTCTTTATTAAAGTGCGCGTTATAACTAGTTAAATATTATTTTGTAATGCAACGCGAAAGTTTAAAAGTGTATATCGTGTTCACGGTTAAGGTAGGTAACGTGAGATCTTGTAGGATCGCACTTTGCAATTGTTTGTTTAAAAAATACTTTCAGTTCGTAATAATAGTAGGCTTAATGCATTTTTTTGCTCTCGTCATCATGCACCGGTCATACTCTTTTGGTATGGTTTCTTTATCATTTAAAAGCAGTGCTGGCCACTCACCATCAGGTGGTGAAAATACCTATTTGCTACCCTTTTTATAAAAAATAAACTTTTTTGAGCCCTGTGTTAAGCCCGAGACAAGTTGAAAATTTTCATGTTCATAAATAAAATAATATGAATAAAAGTAGTTTTAACGGTTAACCCGTTACACGAAACTTTATTTATTTATTGACGTTTCGCAGTCTTTTCAGGTCTGCTTCGTCAGAATAATGATTTTTTATTTAATTTTGTCGAGCTACCTTCGAAAGACTTTTATTGAGCGTTCGGTTATTTCATTGTTAGATTTTTAAAATTTTAATATCTATGTATGAATTTATTAGTTAATTTAGTTAATAAAGTACTTTATTTAAAATTCTTTTTTGTAATTTAGAGTTTATTTATTTGACCCTAACTAGCGTAAACTACCACCGGTTCCAAAATTGGGAGACCTTTCTGAGAAGAACCGGCGAAACAAACTCAAGAGAGGCTTTCAATCTCCTTCTTATGATAAATTATGCAAACAAAAAGAACTAACACTATCTGTTGGTCTTGCTGCTAATATCTGCATTTGTTCTGGAAACTTCCGAGAAAACTCTGCTAGGCCGCCTAAAATCCATTGTGTGGGTAGTTTAAAAAAATATATAGCGGATATAGAGATAGACGCAGACGTGAGACGTTAATACTATAATAAAGTTAACACAATTTTATAGTACTTATATGTTAGTATAGATAGGGATAAATTGTTTACCTGACTTGGACTTAAAAATAAGTATTAGATTGTAGCTCAAAAGCACTGCAATTTGAAAATAACATAAATATAATCAACTTAAAGGTAGATTTGACCCTATTGAATACTTGTTTAAGTACATATTCAGAACATGTTAATTACATATTTGATATCATGTCGGAAAAATCCAGCCTAATCTACCAGCCATGAAGGTTAACAAGGATTTACAAGGTGTTGTACTCATGAACATTAATTATAGTCATAGAAATGTATTTGGCTGTTTAGAGGTCGATGGAAGTGCACCCAAGGCTCTTTTGGCTAATGTCGTTGACCCGTCACCTTGCGTCAACTTACGCAATTTGGTAATCTTATCATCTGCATGCGCACTCGCGAGACCTCGATAGTCCCCTCGCCGAATTTCAACTACTCGCGCAGTGTATTAATGAGGTTGAAAATACCTTCTACAAAGACATTCTTTAATACAAATTTCACTTATCTCAGTTGCCGCGGCGGATTATTGTCATGTTGTCAAGTAAAGTAACCCAAGTAGATACCTAACCAGTTACAAAGTAGGAGTAGAGGTAAATCATTTATAAATCTAATTTTTAGTAACTTTTAATTGCGATAAACAAGATTACGTGTGATTCGTGATTTATTACTACCCGATATTTTAAATGATATCTAATTATGTTTACACAAATCTAGTAACGACGATTCTCAAAATTTGACTTGATTTATATTCATTATTAGTTATTTATATTTGAATTTTTCTGTCTTTTTTATTTCACCTTAAAAAAAACATAAAAATGTAAAAAACATTTTTTTTTTTCAATTTCAACAGCAAATGTGCGTTCTACGAATTCACGCTACGAAATCCGTAGCGCTGCGGCCGGCGGAAAAGCCGCGGAGAGAGGTGCGCCAGCGCCGATGGGACGAACCTAAACGCGCACCACCCCGCGCGTATTTATTCGCAAGGCCACGCCAGCGGCTCGTCAGTGCGCAAACGACACTCGCACGCGATATACTATCACAACGGTTCACGCTGCGACGTCGCGACGCTCACAATACGCGTACGATAGATAAAGTTTATTTAAAAAATAAATATAGACTCTCTGTTTTTGTATAGCTTTTAAGAAAGTTCTGTTTAGACTGTTATAATTATAAGTATACAATATGTTTATGTTCCTACAAAACTCTAAGATTTTGTGGGGAATAGGTCAAGTGGTGTATTTCTGTGTTTCGCGGGCGTCAACGCCGTTACTGTTGACGTTCGCCGTCGCCCTGCTGGTGGCGCGTCTTCTGTTGGTCCTGCGGGAGATTAAGAAGCTTCCACCGGGTCCGTGGGGACCGCCGGTCGTTGGATACCTGCCCTTCCTCGGCATCAGACATAAAACGTTCCTGCAGCTGGCGCGGCACTACGGATCCCTGTTTTCGGCACGACTAGGGAATCAGCTTACTATCGTATTGAGCGATCACAAGCTCATACGAGAAGCATTCCGTCGTGAAGAGTTTACGGGGAGGCCGAATACACCACTAATGCACACATTGGATGGACTCGGTGAGTACAGTGTACCTAATATCGACGTTGTTGAGATGACTTATAGATTTCCTAATTTTGAACACTTAAAGTTATTTAGAAAAAAAATCTCTGTTAAAGTAAAAATAAAAAAAAATGTGTGATAGAATAAAGGTTGACTGGGAGAGAATTCTATTAGCATTAAGTCCGCCCTTTGTACCATTATTATTTGTTTTGGTCAATAAAGTTTAAAAATCAATAAATAATGTTTTGAATTATCGAATGGTTACGCGATAACGCGCCGGTATGAAAACATCGAGCACATGGGTATGTGGGCGGTGCGGCCCTCCCTCCGGCGCCGGCGCACCCCTCCCACCTCCAGACCACAGACCACTCATTACCGCCTCCCTCTGTACAGGCATCATCAACAGCGACGGCAGACTATGGAAGAGTCAACGCCGGTTCTTACACGAAAAACTGAGAGAATTCGGCATGACTTACATGGGCAACGGCAAGCGTGTAATGGAAACTCGAATTAAGGTACTTCATTGTGTATATCGAATCATATTTTTGTACTTGATAGTTTTTTTTATAAGGAACAAAAAGATTTAATTTTTTTCTTTTTTCTTTATCAGCATGAAGTTCACGACTTAATCGAAAATATCCGCCGCACTAATGGTCTGCCAGTCGATCTGAACCCTATGCTGGCACTGGCCGTATCTAATGTAATTTGCGGTATCACTATGTCCGTACGATTTAGTCACGGCGATGCTAGATTTGAAAGGCTTAACTTCCTGATCGAAGAAGGCATGCGGCTTTTCGGAGAAGTGCACTATGGAGAATACATCCCACTATACAACGTAAGTATTGTTATATCATAGATAAATAATAATCGTGTTATTGAACATTAGTAAAACAGTAGAATAACAATTTGTATTTACTTTCAGTATCTGCCCGGTAAAGCCCAAGCTAAAGAGAAGGTGGTAAAGAACCGCGAAGAAATGTTTGCGTTTTATCAAACGTTGATCGACGAACATCGGCAAACGTTAGACATTAACAACGCGCGGGATCTGATCGACACTTATCTCATAGAAATGGACAAGGCTAAGACCGAGGGTAGGTCAAAAGACCTATTTGAGGGCAGGGACCATGGTAAGCATAAGATTTATCCTTAACATGATCGTTTTTACAGACAAGCCATGATAAACAATGTATTGATATTTATTTATTATTTACAGAGCTCCAATTGAAACAAATTTTGGGTGACTTGTTTTCGGCGGGCATGGAGACTATAAAATCCTCTATACTATGGATGATAGTCTTCATGATCAGGAACCCGGACGTTAAGCAAAAAGTGCAAGAAGAACTAGATGCTGTAGTTGGTCCAAATAGGCTACCGAATATGGAAGACATGGCCAGATTACCGTACACCGAAACGACCATCCTAGAGACGCTCAGAATGTCAAGCATAGTTCCTCTAGCAACAACGCACTCACCTACCAAGTAAGTTAATTCATTTATTTTCCTCATAATATCTAACAAACAAATTATTGGTAATCTAAAAAATAATAGCAAAGACGATAAAGTTTTATTCCATTTAATATTACATACATATTTTGTTTACCAATGCGAACCCTAAGCGAATCGATTGTTAAATTATAAACACAGAGAAATAAAAAAGTATGCTAGTGGCTAACTGTTATGTTTCTTTTGTCTAACAGGGATGTTCATCTTAACGGTTACAAGATTCCAGCTGGAGCTCAAGTGGTTCCACTTATAAACTGCGTGCATATGGATCCTAATCTCTGGGATGAACCCAAAAAGTTCAACCCGAGCAGATTCATCGATGAGAATGGCAAAATTAGACGCCCAGAGTACTTCATGCCTTTCGGAGTTGGTCGCCGTATGTGCCTAGGAGATATTCTAGCGCGCATGGAAATGTTCATGTTTTTCTCATGCCTGATGCATCAATACGATGTCGTTCTCCACGAAGGCGATCCGCTACCTTCATTGGAGGGTATCGTTGGTGCGACGATAGCTCCGAAGGCGTTCCGAGTCAAGTTTGTGCCGAGATCGGCGCCAGAGCCTGTGGCACCCGTGTCCTTGCCCGATCACCTGACACTCCGAAACGTCGGTGCCCACTAGAGGCGCTAGCCTCATCGCCACACACCCACCAGTATTCACTGATCGCTCGTTTTAGAGCGCATCATCAACCATTTTTAAGACTAGACTAGATTATAATGTTACGACGCCGCTATAGCGACGCTCGAGGCTGTGCATAAAGTGTTCAATATTTAATTATAAACTGAACTTTAGTTGTAGGCATAAAGAAAATTCCCATCGCAGTGATTATAAAATGTTATGAAAGTGTGTTTGCAGTATTAAAGAGCGTAGATTATAAATTTATTCGATATTACGCAAATCACACAATTAAAGATATATTTTGTAAATTATTTATAAGTCGATTAAGTTCTAGTATCTATACCAAATTGAATATATAATTGTTCTAGATCATTATTTATTAGTAGTTATTTTTTCACTAGAGAATGTTGTATTTTGAGTGTGATCTCAAAGATATTGCGATGTATTGTATCCTATTGAGTGTATAGACATTCCATGTCAGAGCAGGGACCTGCAGCTAGTCTAAGTGAGTTGATATTATTAACCTAGTTTTCGTAACTTAGCCTGAAGTGTCTAATATATGTTTTTCCGCAACAAAGTTGCCGTCTTGTACTGTGTACTTTAATAAGTCTGTTTTATTTCACAACTCACCGTCGTAATACATTACCATTACTTATTTACCAAGCTTTGTATATATGCAATAGTTTTGGAATACATAAATGTGAAAATAAATAACGATTTAAATAATGAATTTTGGTGTCTTTTTTGTACATTATTAAATATTTAACGGAGAGGTCAAGACCATAACGCAACCATAATACCCTAATGATTTGATCTACTAATCAAGTTCAAATCTTGACAAATACCTACATTATTTGTGTGCATATCCTATAACGTACATACAAGAGCATCGCTAGCAAGATATGTTCATATTGATAATATGTTAAATAGTACATTTATATAATACAACAGCTATTACAGAACACTTGAAATAATACCTACAATACAAGGAGTCAATTGACCTCTGTGATGACGCATTTAATTCTATAGCGTCCATACATACCTATACAACTAGTTTATCCTATCTGGCTGGGTGTCAAATATTTAATTTACGACCTAATACGATAGCGTGGGATAAATAATAAGTCTTCCACTTATATTGACTGAAAAATACAGTTGATCTTATAAAATTTTAAACCTTTATAAGCATACCATCCTATTTATAAAGGAACAAGATAAATTATACAAATCATAATTTCGGAAAGTATTTAAAAAACTAAAAATAGAATAAATGTATTTACGTAAGTGCCACAACGCACGAGCCGCGGACCGGAGCGGATGGCGGTCGGATGTTAATTTGTATACGCTGGCATCCACACAACAGCGTGGCTGGGCGGACGCCGACATCAAGCGCGGCACACACGCAGGCCACGCGAGCCGGCGTTTGTCTATTTGTTCAGACTTTTAGGGAGACCACGCATGAAACTTCAACTTCGAGCGGTATTTTGCTCAAAATTTTATATTGGAGAACTAAAAATATTGCTATCGACAAACCGTCCGCGCAGTTTCCGCAAGAACATCTGCTTTTCCACGCGGCACCAATCCTCCGCCATCCGTTGCGGTTTGCGGTTCGTGCGTTGTCCACCTAAGAGATTCACTTAATTTGATCTTTGAAATTGCAGGCAATGTGTTACCACTGATCTTGCTTTAGTTCTCTGGTTAACATCATTGCATCGTAAAGTAAATAGCAACATCTAAAATTATATCCATTTTATTTACTAATAGTTCGCAGTGTTACTGATGTGTGTAGTTCCAATAATATCGATTTTAAAATTGGGGAAAAAATCAAAAAGTTTCCAAATTATTCCCTTTTAACTTATTTGTCCGGTAAACTAGTTTTCAAAACCAAATGTAAAGTAAGTATCTTGCTAAATTTATTGACTCTTCTGGCTCGTATTACAGAATGACTACTAAGTTAGAAAGTAGTTAGTTAGAAAGGGATGTCGCTATATGCTAAGAATCATGCACAAATAAAAGTAGTGGGTAGTTGTCAAACACATTGGTCGAATGTTGGTTCGCCTTCGTCCGTCCGCCCGCGCCGCCGCGCTCGGTAAGTAACAAGATAATCGATGACACTGGATGGGGTTCGCTAGTTCAGTATCCTTAGCACGAACCAATATCGAATTCGACTAGTTTGCGAGTGCGAAATGTCAATGTCACATATTGTATGGTAACTTGAACAGCAGCGCCACAACGGACGTAACAAGAACTAAAATCAGCACACAATTGACGTTTATCTTGATCAAATTCAACTAATGGTTCGTGCTAAGGGTACATGAGTTTAGTCATTTACACAAAAAAGTTTAACTGCTTTATAGAAATAGTAATATATTATTATTATATATGTACAGAAAATCAATAATATTTAAATACAAATCTTATAAATAACATCTTATTTACAAAATAAAAAATAAGTCACCCCCTTCGCCGCTTATAATATTTATGCAGTAGCATTTTTTTTGAGTGTGTATGCTGTTGTTGGTCGCAAATGACCTTTACAGCGTCACCGGGTTTAGGGACGTCGAGATCCCTAGGGGACCTCAAGCCGAGAATTGGCGAGTGTCTCTAGAGGTATTCCAGGCATCTCCCCACGGAGGGAGTCTCCTCTGTTTCTGGACCCTCTAGACCACTCGAACCTGAGGAGGTCGGCACAACTAGAGGGCTTCTCTGAGACTCGGACCTCGGCCCTAGTTAGCCGTTGTCGTGAGGGGCAGGTGGTAGATGCCCATGGAGGCAACACGCGTTATTATATTAAACCTTTATTTGATAAAACATGTTTTTTATTCAAAAATCAATTGCCTTTAACAAGGCGCATATCCGACTTGTTAGGCGTAGCTCCATGTCGTATGGTATTCTGAATTCAAATTTTAAACAATAAGATCGAAAAAGATGGTAAAATGTATCAGGTTTAATACTGCATCAACAGTTTTTGTTCAATCTAGCAATCATATTTCGGTAGGGGCCATCGAAACCTAAACTCTAAGGTGGGCCAATAGATGTGTCCAGAAGTGTAGTATAGTAGTTAGTATGTATTAATATAATAAATTAGTTAATCATCATCACCAACTTTTAAGAACCCAAATTTAGTTTAAATCGTAAATCAAATTCTTCTAAGGTTGCCACTGCTTGGGCGGGGGGAACACACAGCGCAGTCCCAGTACGAATTAGTGAGTGTACATGATCTCAGCTTAGCTTAGAACCAACAGCTTAGCTCTAGATAGTAAAATTTTGATCATTTATCCTAAAACCAGGCATTGTAAAAGTTGCTAACTACTGCACCTTTGAGCTCCTCACAACTACCCTCGTTTATGATAGTATAAAATCATATCATGCTTCTCCCATATTTGCGCGACAAAGCTTTGATCACGGTACTGATTTAGATATTATTTTGTATTGTGCTTTGCTACTAAAATGTGCTAAAATTAACGTTCGAAGTTTGTATTAGTTCCACTGCAAGTACTTTCTGCAAATACATAACGCATCTAGCAGAGAAAATTGTGGCTGTTTGATGAGTAATCCCTTAACGCGGAAGAGATTTAAAAAGCAAAAGAGTGTTATTATGAAATTTTTTAAAAAAACAACACACCCAAACGTTGGATATAATGTTTTTTTTTAATTATGAAATTGGATGTCTTAATTTTGGCAATAAGCTAGCTGGTACAGAATCTTTAATAGAGATTAAATGGATGTAGTTAAAATAATTTATTGTCATTATTTATGTTTAATTGTATTGTATGCTAATATTATAAAGATAAGTTTGAGTTGGGCTAAAATCAATTTGAAATGAATTCGAATTGAAAAATAATAGCAATGAACGCTTTTAGACCAACGAAATTAATTTGTATTAAAATAAAATTGAGCATAAAAGTTAACCGAGAATTCAGATCAGGAAAACAAAATAAATTTGTCTCAGTATTTTTGGAAGAACCTAGGTTTAACTATCAATAACACTAGGTAGTTAACCAGAGTAAACAGGATACAGCTTAACATCGCTGTATAGAAGCCACATAGAAAATTGTTTCCTCTTTGTTAATTGAGGTCAATTTTTGGCCCCAGTTATCTAACTGGTATATACTATAACTATCCTAGTATATCCAATGTAATCACTTCCGTCGGGTAGTCAGTTCGAAGATTCGGGGGTTACCTATACTCTGGGGTAGCTGTATTCAATTCTCAGTTCCTAATTTAAAAGGTGGGATATTTTTTTTGCATCAAATTTCATTTGTCTTTTATACGACACTGGCTAGAATGAGGGCATCTGATTTTAATATTAAATTTTCCAGGGCAATACAGAGTAGGACATATTGTCAGGGTAGAGGCAACGGTGATACTCTGGTATAGCAAGCGTCTTTAGAATCGTCCATTCTTATGAAAATATCATAAGGATCGTGACCGCACGACCTTTAACCAAATAGCCATTAAATATATTCATCTACAAATATATTGTTTTTTTTTTACATCTTCCTTTTTCTCATTTTTATACCAGACCAAAACCTTGTTGGCATTATGTCAGTCATGATATTTTTATAACGATGCTTAATTATCTAATTGTTATACAGATTACACCTGTATTGAAAGTCAATATTCTGAATAATTTAATAATACATTAGTAAAGTATACGTGATTTTTGCTACTTAGTCTAAAACTTCACCACATAGAGGAGGGGTTCTAGCGTGGAAGCCACGAAGCAATCAAAGGCATAGTAGGTAAAATTGAATGTCTTTGGAATACCAGGTGCAAAAGATATTTACTTGTATCTACTTTATCATGTATCTCGTCATGTTGAAATAATTTGAATTTTTTTTTTACTATATACATACCTGCCATGTTCCGCGTTGCTTCACCCTTCGATATACGTTGAAAGTTAGCGACTGGCACATCTTTTGTATTTATTTCAATTCTAACTCAGTATGGAAGATAATTTTCAATTTATAACGTTTTCATTTGATTACTCCAGTAATTTTTTATTACTGGTGTAATCAAATGAGTAAGAATAATTTAACGAAAAAATCTATATTTATAAAAGTGCATTCTCATAAATTGATTGAAAAAAGATGATCTAATATTACCTAAGCCTAAGGTCTTTGACCATGGCTAATTTTGCTTGATTGGTTTCCTAGAAATATTAATTTTATCAATAATTTAAGTTTGAGCAAACGTATGGAGTTCAAAGGCTTTAATTAGTAAGTACTTGGTAATTTGAATCCCTTGTTGTTGTCATCGAATGACAACTACAAAATATATTATGAATGAAAATATTTATTACGAAGGTCATCGACCGAAGCGGCGTGGGAACAATAATATTTCCTTATTTTATTAAGATACCTACATGTCGCTTAGATACCTATTATAATCCTCTTTGTAGAATTTCGTTTTTTTTTCTTTGAGGTAGTTGTTTATTTAAAAAAAATGGTAACTACCCTCATAGAATAACTTTGTGGTCTGTCCATCCGTCCTTCCGTTTATAACCATTATTTTTCTCAGGAACTCATTGAGCAGTCAAGCTGCAATTAATTTCATGATTAAACTTCTTGGAACAGTGAAAAAGTCGAACTTCCAAGTCAATGCAATCAAAAGTTACGGCTGGTTATGTTTCGATTATGCCGCAAAATTTGACGCCTGCAAGAAAATCAAAACCAAACAAAATTCTAAGTGTGCTTATTAAAATTTTATTAGAAAGTTATGTACATGCAAAATTACAAAAATGGAAACATTTACATTATTAATGTTGTAGATAAATGTAGTTAATACTGTAACAAAGAAAATATATTTAAAATTACAAAGAATTGTAATAAAACTTCACAGCCGGTGGAGACAGCGTGACTCACACTGTACCGTGTATACCCTCAAGGACGAGTGGCTGCGACGCCAACCTTATGCGCCGACATCTGAACGACGAGCCACTAAACCACATGACAACATGCGAGACAACTCATTTCCAGGACACATTACTAAGGTTTTGGTTTAATAGCTAATACGTATTTTTTTATAGATAGGTCCGACAAATGACTCCACCCCACCTGATTTTAAGTGATGGTGAAGTCCAGACGTGAAGATAGCTGGTACAGCAGTTCTACCTGCCACATAAGCCATCCTCACCTTGCCGGCCTGCATGTTGCTTCGTTACGCCTCTTTTAAAGGATCCCAGGTTGTAAGAGGGAGGGAACACGTGAGCAGGCAGATTATTCCATTTACCGATAGTGCGACAAAGAAACGAGTCACCAAATTTCTTTGTACGCGTTGGAATTGTCAAAAATCTATGAAAATATTTTTAAGATTACAAGAAGGTTACACGGAATCGCAATAGAACTTCACAGCCGGTGGAGACAGCGTGACCCCCACTGTACCACGCATTTCCTCAGGGGTGGGTGGTTGCGACGCCAACCTTATGCGCCGACGTCTGAAAAGGCGCGCCGCACATCCACACGACAGCATGCGAGACAATTCGTCACCGGGACACATTCTTTTACCTGGGGAAAGTTTAGAAAATCCATATTGTTAAACAATTTTGCGAAAATCTGACTTCTCTCTATCCACTTTATTTCAAATCTCGGACTTAAGTCAAGGTTGGACATAACGCTGTCTCAGGTTGTCCCCATATTTTCCTGTCTTTTCATTAAAATATATTTTTCAGTAAATATTTTGTAATGAGGTGGTTCATTGTTTTATTTTTTTATTTATTGTAATATTTTCTATACATATAAATATCTAAGCTTGAAGTAAAAATGAAAAAATGTGTTTCTTGTAGGTCAGGTTATTTGTTAAAATCTTTTAGATGTCTAATAACCCTTAATTTTGTATTATCTTATTTTTCTTTTCTATATAAACATACATATCAAATTATACCTGTTTGGAAAGGAATAAACTCTTGTGGTTTCAGCAAGCTCCCATCGGGACCTATAAAACGACTTGGCTTAAATTCCTCTGGATTTTCCCAAACATCAGAATCCATGTGAATTGCCCACTGGAGAGGTATCACCATGGCACCTTTTGGTATCCGATAGTTTCCTAGATAGGTATCCTGAAACGAGAGAAATAGAGTTTTTTAGAATTCAGGAAACCACTAAGATGAAGAATCTCCATCTCGATTAATAATTGGGTGGACTTTTGGCCGATTCTTTAATTTGGCTAAAATACGATTGTCTGCATTTCATATTTCACATCAAATTTAATACATTTCAAAGCCAAATGTGTTAACTACACTACACTTAAATTACCTGTAAACAACCATGAGGTATACCAACAGGAACTATTGACCGTATTCTTTGGGTTTCACATAAAGCTGCCATAAGGTAAGGTAGCTTAGAACCATCTATTTCTTCTTCCTCTGGATAAACTGACAAGATTTCTTTGCGAACGAGATCCTGTGAATAATTAACAATTAAACAAAAAGTCCTGTTAGACACATACATGCCATCAATAAAACCAAGTTCCCGACTCTACAATACTAGAAAGATTAACACTAACATAAATGTTTCGTTTACTAAGATTGTTTCGAAGCGGCTCCATTCACTAGCAAAGAGTATGCTCTACGAATGATCTAATGGTTTTTGAAGGACATGTCGATTCAACTAAAACTAGATTTTGCCCATACACTAATGTGAATTTGACATTGACGTTTTACCATTTTTTGCAAGTGGGCCCATGATAAATAATTAAAGTGATACGATTTATTAGGCACATATGTTTTAATGTACCAATGGACGCAAAATAAAATAAACACCATTGTTGTGCCTTCATCTAAATTGCTCTACACCTCAAAAGCCACATCAGATCTGCACATCCGTTTAGGATACAATCAAATAATTATTTTTAACATGTAGGTAACATACAAAAAGTAAGGTTTCTAAATCATTATGCTTTAGGTCGACCGCACAGTGCAAAAAAATGTTCATTGTTACATTTATATAATTAATACAATCCTTACTTGTTCGTCTTGGTGTAAAGCCATATACAATAAGAACCAAGACAGGGTCACCGACGTGGTATCAAGACCGGCGCCAAACATATCTGCTAGTAAATACAATAATTGTTCGTCTGTCATGAATCGTGCCGATTCTTCATCGCTTTCAAATCTGCGTTTCTGTTCTTTCAGGAAGTTATCTAGAATGCACTCATCATCCGTTGCTATCAAAATGTTAGGATCGAAAAAATGTTCCTCGTTGGCAGTATACTTGCTGTACGTAATACATTTCATGTGACCTTCTGGATGTTCGTCAAATAGATTCTCATGAAGAGGGTATTCCGCTCCTTTTGGTGTCACTAAATCGAGCATTTTACGTCTTCTGTTTATTATACTACCATATAATCTATGTGTTTGGGCTTGACCTCGAACTAACACTTGGATTGTCTTTCTCGTAGATGGGGAAATAAATCTGTGAAATAAACAAGAATTATTTTTGTTTTTTCCGTCACGATTTGTAGCTTATCCGTGATGAATATTATATATAGTACCTTACGAAAGGCAAAAAGTTCACAGCGCCGGCAACACCCATTTCATGGCACCCTTCTTCTTGGATCTGACGAAACCAGTTCCAGGTTTTGTCGTCAGGTGGGAATTTAAAACCAAATATTATCTCATTGACAACATTACCCAATGAGTTAGTAAGCATATGTACTAAATCTACCGGAGTACCTGAAGATTTTTCGACATTCTAAAAAAATAATTTATTATTATAGAAATAATGTAAAGAATTATACAGATCATAGATCATAGATTATATTGTGATATAAGGAGTGTACTAAAAACCTCCGGAAGGGATGAGAGAAAAATATTGTGGCTGGAAAGAAATCTCAACAGGTAATCCCTTATTTCAATGTTTTGTACGATGATCACCCGTTATTTTAAATGACTAATTGTATCCGACTTCTATCTATTAAGTATAGATAGAAGTCGGAGTCGGAAGAAGTTAAGACTAGGACAAAAATCTCTCAGCGTAAAGGATCAATGTTTAGTTGTTCACACGGTAGCATCGTAGTTAAGTCGACCCATTTGGGATATTATTTCATTAAATTGATAATAAAGTGCGAAGGAAACGAAATATAAAAAAATATATAAGCTTTTTTATTAATAATTAAGTTCGTACTATACAGGGTGTTTCTTTTAGGGTATCAAGTCAGTGCGAGCTGATAGCAGAGTACCATATCTATCAATTTAACCCCCATATGTGTTCTACGATTTTTCGTAGTTTCTGAGTTAGAACTTTTTTTGTCATTTTTTACGATAGGTATGGTACTCTGCTATCAGCTCGCACTGGCTTGACACCCTAAAAGAAATACCTTGTATACGTACGATTACTGTATTAAGAAAAGTCACTATTATTATTTTAAAGAGAATCATTGCCAACTTAATGTTTTAACAAAAAAAAATATTTCTTTCTTTTATTATAACTTTAATGAGGCTTTATAAAAATAGTCATTTGCACTATTATGAATATTATAAAAACACTATTTATGGGAAAAATATCTGGTTCTCTGTCTGTCAACTCAGAATAATGGAAATGACATAAAAAAGCTGGACAATGTTTGCACCATGATCGAATAGTCCTTACACCCATCTTACACCTTAGATCACACTTGTTTTATTGTGACACCTTGTTACGGCTCATTCTACGGAACATATCTAAGATCCAGGCATTGAATCCATAACAAATCGTCTTTCCTAAGATGTTTGCTTGCAACATGATCGTTTACTGCGGATCTGCATTTCCCTACACAATACGAATCAGAAAAGAGGAAATCCGTAGAACTAAAAGAACCTCTTTTGCTCTGCTGGAGAGGCAATGGGCGGGTATGTGACGAGAGGAACCGATGGCCGTTGGAGCGGAAAGGTTTTCGAATGGCGAGCTAGCACCGATGCTCAGTGGGCAGCCCCACTAGGTGGACCAACGCCGACGGATGGGAGTGGCGAAGGACCTGTGTAGAGATCCTTGGGGTAAGCCTATGCTCAGCGATTGGCGTCGTACTGTGGGCTGACGTGATGATGATGACCACCAGAGAAATTACGCTCATTTATGACGTTTTCAAACAATGCAATGGGACGTTTGTCTTGAAAAGTATTATGAACTTCAGACCAATCGTAGAAGTTTGGATACTTTAATTTTTAAGTTCTTCCGTGTTTGTCCTCTTGCAAATATTCAGAGTATAATTATCTTTTCATCCTACTTCTTTGTCAGCGGTACCATCAGAATCAACACGAGTTCGACTTCTTCAACATATAGAGAAGACGCGCATCATGAATACACGGTGACATACATATCATGTTCGTAATCATTATAGATGTTTTCAAAAATAATACATATATTATTAGCCTAATGTCCTTAATATAGTACAGCATAATTTTTATGTAGTTTTGTATATATATTTTGTACATCCCAGGTATATCTTTAAAAACTGAGGTTAGATGCCTTTTCACGGTTATGTCTACAATTGACAATTAATATTCATTTTACAATGAAATACTGAGAATAAAAACGAAATAACTCGAATTTTATATTTTTTATGCAATGTCTTAAAGTATACTTTAAAACATTTATTACATTTCCATTGGTCTGTTTATCCGGGTATTTATTGGATATACTTTTTTATTTGTACCGTCCTAAATATAGGTTTATCTGAGTTAAAAGATAATATTCTTTGTGCAGTAGGATAGTTAGTACATTTTTACACAAAAAGTTTTTTGAAAAAACATTTTCGATTTCTATTATCTCTGTGCGATTGTTAAATGAAAAAAATTATTTTACTAACTTTTGCCATATAAATAATAAATAAATAAATATTAAATAAATATCAGAGTCGTCAAGTTAAAAAAGACGTCAGAGATGATTAATGAAGACACTTTTCATTACATAATGTGTAATATACATTAATTGTCCACCTGCATTTTAATTGCTGTGTCGTCTGTATAAATACAAATAGTGTAATTTATATTAGGTGTAACTAGACATTAACATCTTAAATATCAAAGTAGTTAGAGCAGACTCATCTTCGCAGGCAGCACTCGTTCACGAGCATGACGCATGAACCAGCCATCGCTTCGCTAAAAAGTCTAATATTGTTTCTGCAAATGCAAATTACCTATGCAAAGTTAGATTTAAAAGATTGCACTTTGGATCCATATACTTTAATGGTAAGATGCTAAAAACATAGCAGTCGTGTATTTTTTTTGCGCACAGCACGACAACACTTGTCTGTGACATTAAAAGGTCACTTTCAAGAAATAATGCGGTTTGGGCTCTTAAAAAAAGCTGTTTTTTTTTTTAATTTTATAGCAGCTCTGGAAGTTATTCTAAAGTACTTACTCATGCAGTGCCACGCAGGCACCGCCATTGTGTTTACGTAACGAAGCGTGGATGAAACTAATTGGATTCACCAAAATCATTGCATTGTTCTTAAAAAAATACTAAAGTATCAGTACAAGTAAAAGATTGTCAGATTAACTTGGAGGACAAGAGGACATGCAAGGATGACTTATTCGAAATATGTAGCTCCTCCCTCCTCCTTCGTCACCCCTCAGTTCGTGATCGTGACACCTCAATAAAGTGAACATATTTATTTTACAAGTAAAAAGGTTTAATAAATAAAAAAACGTACTTCTAGTAGTTCATGTGCGCCAGCAGCGATGCGTTTTTCCAGTTTATCTCGGGAGATACTGTGCTTGCTCATACCAAAGCTTTTCAACCAAGAGGAAACTTGCTTCCTCTGATCTTTCCATAAAGCGCCTTCAGCACATATGATACCTAAAATAACAAAAAAAACTTTTCATATATTTAAATCAATTAAAGCAATGATTATTGCAAAAAGAAGTTGCATCTGGTAATATCATTTTTGTTAAAAGTGCCTGTATTTGTTTAGTTAATCTAATACTAAAATTAGTTATTGTTGTTTAATGATTACTTCAATTAAACAATTTTTTTTTAAGATATTACAAAACTCACTAAGTATCTGCTCAGACGACGGAACTTAAGCGCGAGATACCCGATTTTTTTAATGTAGGTATATTGATCTGTGTTCTGAATGGATTGTTCTTACTCAGCCTTATCGCGAAAAATGTATCACTCACGCATCGCCTACCTAACAAATGTATATTATAATGTTTGTGTAATGTAATGACAGATCAACGAGTCTGGTAAAATCGAACTGAAATATTTTATAAATAATAAATAACGAACTTACCATTGCCATGCATTATTCCGTGAGTGAGATATAATGGAGCTCTCCCCGAAAATGCTTCCTTCGCGAAAGCATCTCTTACCAACTTATGGTCTGACAACACCACAGCATATACATTCCCCATGCTGAGACCATATATGGGGCCATAGGTTTTGGCTAACTTCGTTAGGGTCAAATGAGGTTGCTTGGGATCTATGAAAGGCAAATATCCTAAGATGGGCATACCCCAAGGCCCAGGAGGAAGGTTCTTCCACTGGTTTATTTTACGAAATATCCAATAACCAACCACGAATGTGAAGAGCCATAGGAATATTAAATCCATGTTAAGCTGAAACAAAAATTTCACAGAGAAGAACGCAACAACATTTATCCATAACTTGGCGTTGGCTTTGCACATGTTTTCTGATAAAATTTAATTCTTTTGTTTTTGAATTCGTAATTTTTAAGCTGCTATTATTATTATTATTCTTATTTTTATGTAATTTACATGGCTAAATGGTTGAAATAAATTAATTAAATTGAATTGTATTGAATTGAATTGAAAATGTGTTGATATTACATGTTTTTCTGTTAAAATGTTGATATTCCAATACCAATATCCCAATTTCCGAAGCTTTCCGTACCCTTAGCATGTACCAATATCGCATTCGTAACGTTTGCAAGTCCGAAATGACATTGCCAAATGTGTACTGATTTTTAATTCTCGTTACGTATTTTGTGGCGCTACTGTTCAAGTTTCCATACAAAAGGGGATTGGGTAATTTTGTATGGAGGTTGGCTTGATTTTTTTTTCAGCGGCCACTGCACTAATTATGATTGTTTGATAGTACTATATATGTGAATGGTTCTTAGCAAAGTAGTAGTTCCATAACTAATATCGGAACCAAGATATTTGATCTTGAATTCTAACAAAAGTCATATGATATAAAAGCTCATTAAATTATCTCCTGAGATTATTATACATGTTTAGTATTGTGATAACGCTTTCTAAAAGCTAAAATTAATGAAAAAAAAAGAAACAGATCAAAAACTTGATCTAGAGTACCTAGAGTCCCTACCTGGGCCGCGGTAGCATTGGTGATCAATGACGCTGGGAAGTTTTTTGAAAGAATTCTGGCAGGGCGTATCATCGAGCACCTGAGGGAGCCGGACCCAAATCTGGCAGAGCACCAGTTCAGGTTCCGGCGAAACCGGTCCACGGTGGAGGTGGTGGCCCTTTTGAACCTTTGGGGTGGACCGAGGCGGCCACTCGTTGGGGAGAGACTGCTATTGCGGTGTAGCTAGACATTCGCAACGCCTTTAACAGTATTTCCCCCAAAATAATACCTGCCTCCATATTTGAAAGGTACAGTATACATCTACTGGATGACAACGATCCCAAGGTATCATACAAGGCTCTCATGATCTACACCGACAGCTCTAAAACCTCATCGGACACGGGCGCGGGTGTTTTCTCTGAAGACCTCAATATACATATCGCTTTCCCCTTAAGCCCGTACAACACAGTTTTTCAAGCTGAATGTATGGGCATCATACTGGCGGCAAGAGCGATCCATTCAAGAAAGGTAACAGGACAGGCAATACGAATACTGTCCGAAAGCAAATCAGTCCTACAAGCTTTAGATGCCTGTTTAGACAAATCGAGCCTCCTGCAAGAATGCCACCAAACCCTAAATACGGTAGGGTAAAGCAATTCTATTACTATCCAATGGAAAAAGGGACACAGTGAATCACGCAGAAACGACGCTGCGGATGAGCTGGCCCGGAATGGGTCCGATTCGACCTCAACAGGTCCCGAACCAATCGTCCCGATATCAGTAAGCTGTCTCGTGAATAAAATCAGCGAGCACACAGTCGCATTACACCAGCAACACTGGCTCGATCTGGAGACGTGCAGGCAGACCAAGCTGGCTTTGCCAGGGGTGAACGCTGTCCTCTCCAAAACTCTTCTACAGCTAAGCAAACCTACATTGCGCATGGTAACAGGTGCTATTACCGGACATGCACATTTTAACAGACATCTTAGGTGTCACGGACAACCCTCTATGCAGAGGATCCATGGAGGCAGAAGAAACAGCTACTCACGTTCTGCTGGAATGCAACAGAGTGGCCGAATACCGGGCGAAATACCTCGGCTCACCGGGAAACCTCCAAGAGGCAGTCACAAATGTGAAGGCCCTGGGGGCGTTCCTGGTGAAGCTGGGCTGGCTGGAGTGATTCTGGCATACACCCTCCTAACGCAAAACAGGCCCCATAAGGACATCGAGTTGCGGAAATGCCCGTTGAAAGAAGAAGAAGAGAGCAGTCTCTTCCACGAGTGTATTATGGAGGCACTACATTTTCACTGTGTGCCTCCATACCTGCGAGCCATCGTGGAGGACTACCTGCAGGGGAGGTCATTCTTCTACGAGGGGCCCGTTGGAAGCGTATGCTCTCGGGCCATGACCGCAGGGGTACCCCAGGGGTCAGTGCTGCTCTGGAACCTGGGGTACGACTGGGTGTTGCGAGGCAGCCTTCTTCCCAGCACGGAGGTTGTTTGCTTAGCCGACGACACGTTGGTGGCGGCGAAGGCAAAGTCGGTAGAGGAGGCGATTCGCCTGGCGTCAGTCGGCACTGCGCTAAGCCGGTGTGGCGGCCTCTTTTCCGCATAGTGCAGATACTGACCGGACACGGATGCTTCGGTTACTACCTGTACCGTATCGCCCACCGGGAAGAAACGCCGCAGTGCCATCACTGCGGCGCCCCGGAAGAAACGACCGAGCACACCTTGTTGGAGTGCCCGGCCTGGCTATAGCAGCGCTGCGACCTAATCGCGGCGCTGGGAGGCGGAACCCTCTCGCTGGCACCGTGCCGGACAGCTACACTGGCATATATATAGAGTTGACATGATCTTCACATACAGGAGACCTAAGTGAAATATCCAAAGACTGATGTGATTGGCTGAGGCGGTCAAACCAGACAAAAAAGGGTCTGTTAAACCGTTATTAACTTAAATGGTATGTTTTAGACAACAGTTCATACAAAAAAGCACGTAAGATTTAATGATATGAATCTACGATTATTCTATTTTAAAAAAATCATATCTTGGCTTCGATGTAATTTACAGATATAAGGCCTTAATATTTTATTTTTATTGTTTTTAGTTCTATTCATTAAAAAATAAAGCATTCGTGGCCGCAGACTTTGAAAATTTACCCAAACCCCTTTGACATTGACATTTCGCACTCGCAAACTAATCGAATTCGATAATGGTTCGTGCTAGGGGCACAGTTTCATCCATTCTAAAAACATTGTTTACATTGTTACATAATTTTTCATACTTTAGAGGCAATAATAAAAAGGTTTACATCCGCCGTCGCTACACACGCACACTTTGACTGCTTTAGTACAACCTGACGTTAGAATCAGATTGCCCGAAACATGAGCTGTTTTCTTAGTGTGATTTATTTGGTTTGCTTTATATAAGTAGGCGTACAAATAATTTAAGTGTATATAATTAGTGTCATAGAATTAAAAACACCTTAAAAGTTAAATAAAAAATCCGTTCTTCAATTATAATAATAATATAATAATAAAAAACTAAAAACAAAACTTTATTTCAGACTAAAGTTTCAATTATATTTGCACCAAATGAATTTGGAACACACACAACACTGTTGACTGCCGACCGACATTTTGACGGCTCACTGGTGGCATTTTCGTATCAATGAGCGTTTTCCATTTAGAAAAAAAAGTCGACACTGTGTTGCACTGTGTCGACGATACTATAGCAAAAACCTAATGCCAACTAAAGCTTGGTAACTTGGTATATTGAAGTTGTTATTGAAGTTGGAAAATGGAAAACGCTCAATAACTATGAGATATGAGAAAGGCGGCGAAAAATCTCTAAATACTGAAAATAAATTAAATTCCTTGGATCTGATACTCCTTTCACGGATGTTTAAATACTATAATACTTACATTTTCAGGCTTTGTTGAACTGCTTTAGTTTTAAAAATGGTAGCGTAGTAAGTTAGCGTAAACACCATTAGTACAGGATCCGAACACCGCAAGGCCTTACTTATTTTGTCATGGACAAAATATGAATAATCGAGTAGTATTAGTGTGTACAACGAACGTATACATACTCGCTAACTTGTTCTGTGGGAAAATTTTCTGGTATCACGTGGCACAGGCGCGTAAAAAAATTACTCTCTTTAATAACAGTCCGAGCATTGTTTCCTACATATGTTGTAGAGAATTTTGTAAACAATTTGAAATTAATAATGCCAGACACATTCCGCCAGCAGATTTTATTGCCAGGCACTTTTAATGTAGACGAAGAACAGAAGTTAGTCGGAAATAGACGCGGCGGGGGAATTTTGTAAAAACTACTAAACCTAATTCCAATGCGTGTAACACTATCAGTTGGATTTTTTTTCTACAGTAATTTTGCATTCTGGTAGTAATACAAGCCTGACAATATAACCTATACAGGTTGGGCATTGTCCAGAGTCTATATCGAAGCGAAGCTAGGGCAGAGCACTAATTAAGTACATAACGGAGAACCTTATTACTTGTCTGTTGCAACTCTAATCTGGTTTAAGGATAGATCTCCAAGCAGGCGGTCCAGTTTAAAGGGTCTAAAGCTATTTTTCATATCCCGTAACTTTCAAAAAGCGGTTTTCAAAACTCATGCCTTTAAAAAAATTGCATTAAATGGACTAAAATATACATAAGTAATAGTGAACTGAATCGGTTTGTATTCACTTCAAACAATTAAAATCAAAATTTAATAAACTATCTAAAACGTGCCGAAATGCTTAAAAACTATCTTACAATATTGTCTGTTACGTTAAAGCAATATTATATTGCCCCTACATATTGTGTTAAAATCCCTTGCTATTTTAATAACAACAATGTTGGTATCTCTGCATTATTATAATCGATTATCACGACTCTAACCTTGAATGATATAAACACACAATCCGTTCATTTGAAGCCATAATTTTGATAACAGAAAAAATATGCCGCGCCTGACATGACCTTGATGAATAAAAGGCAGATTGTGATCAGTCGTTCAATTACAAAAGTTATTTTTAAACGGTACGTTATTAGGGCAGTGAAATAATATGATAGTCACAACGATTTAAATGAGAATGCCAATGTTTTACTTACAAAAAACAGCACAAAGAGGAGTCGTACGATAAACACAACCTATCACCTGGCTAGTTGACCAGCGACTGCTTAATAAAAGCGTCGCTATCTTCGCATCTCCCAAAAATTAATTCGATTACAAGGAAAAAAGTGTTCGATTTTCAAATCATATTTAAATGACGTCCCGTGGTCATTCCAGAGTTTCTGTATCGCATACATAGGTGTCGTTCGGTTCGGTGTCATGTTACATTGTGCAGTGACCGAACGCTGCGCTAACGCACGCATTAACTTACCTGGCGAAGCATAATACATTTACAACAAATCTCAAGTTCTCAACCCACCTCCACGTAGGAATCGATTTGGCGTATGAATTAATGAATAATAAATAAGTACGCAGCTGGACTTCAATATTATAATCACATACAAAGAGCAAAAGAAATATCGTCACTTTTGAACTTTATACGAATATGAAACAATAAATCATGATTTCATATATTATGAGATCATAATGACTACTTATTGCATTTTTAAATACTTGTATTTCATCATGTACAACCTAGTGTTCCACAAGAGTGTTTTTTTTTAATTTAATTCCTTCCAAAATCTGTTGATTCATTTTTAATTAAATTACTTATGATGATTAAGCTAGGGGTGAAGAACAAAAACACGTTCTAAATGTTAGATGATTTATATTTCTCATAAATTAAAACCTTTCTACCTAACGACCCAAAGCATTTAAAAGTAATAAAATACTAACTAGGCATGAATTTCAAAACACTATATTAGGTATCATCTTATTTTTAAAACGGCTTTATTAGGTAGTTACTCATAATAAGTTTGTGTAATAATATCTCAATTTAAATATTCAGTAGAATCAGCTTAACATTTGAATGCGAACAAAAAAATTAGTTCTACTCATAGCTGAGGCTGGGCAGTGGGCATCGAGAGGAGCGAGGCCGCACAGGCGCGGGCGCAGCGCGAAGTGTGAAGGTCGGTCAGCGGCCGGCCGCTCTTATCGGGCCAATCGTAACGATCACGAACGCTAATATAACCATTGACTTGTCCACGTGCCACTGGCGACACTTAGGGCCACTTGCGCTAACATTCCTAATTAAGTTTGATCAAAGTTTCATCAATAATTATAATTAATAATACAAGAAGAGCTCGATGGTGCAAGTAGTTAGCGCGTTTGGCTGCGATCGTTGAAGTTAAGTAACTTTCGCAGTGGTCGGTCATTGGATGGGTGACCAAAAATTTACTACCTCGCGCTCCTCCGTGCTTCGGAAGGCATGTTAAGCCGTTGGTCCCGGCTGCATCTGCAGTCGTCAGCACCCACCAATCCGCACTGGGCCCGCGTGGTGGGTCATGGCCCAATCTCCCTATTGCATCCATAGGGAAGGCCTGTGCTCCAGCAGTGGGGACATTAATAGGCTGATGATGATGATGATGTAAGTTTCATCCATGAGATGAGCTTTCTGCTTGGCCCTTTAAAATAAAAAAAAGTTTAGCACATCACTTCGTTCTATATCCCTACGAGTAACTCAAGTCGCAATTGTTCCGTACTTACTATAGATTTGCAACACTACAAACGAAACAATATAGTCTCGTTAGACATCAAAAACATACGTTCTTAATAGAACCAAACCTACTTACGTTCATGTTACAGTAATTTTAATGACATTTGGTGAAAAACACATATTGTAACAATAATTAATAAACATTGCATAATTTATCAGGCCACTAAAAATAAAAGCTATTTTGCAACAAATTATATAACCAATTTTCTATGCGTACATATCTTATCTAAAAGCAAATAAGCACTAATGAGAACTGTAAACTAACAGAAGACTGGATATTCTGACATAATTACAATCACACAGCAATCAATATGAAAATGACAATTAGTGCTTGACCATTTCCATAAAAAAATCTTTACCAAATTTATACCAGTGTTCAGAAATCGGTCATTGAGATTTCTAACAGCAAAGATAATTTTTATTCATTCAGAGAGGTAGGAGCACAGCGGATTTTCCGCTGGAAAAGGAGCGCCCGTAGGTAACCTTCACCTTACAGAAGACCACAGTAAAATAACACTACCTTTTTTTGGTGTCATGTTTCTGTCCGTGAGTAAAGTTCCAGGGCTCCACGGGGTAGAGAGGGAGCGGGAGGATGATCCTCTGACCGCTCCGTCCCGCCGAAAGAGGACGGGTAGGAGAGGACGGCGGCGCGCCCTGGCTTCGCCCGTCCCATGACCCTACCCGGGGGTCCCTCGTTGACAGGCATGGTGTCAGCTGTGCGGGCCACCGACGGACCCCGTGACGGAAGCCCCCCCTTGTAGTTCTGTCCTGCAAAGAGGGGGACGGCGGAGGTAGCTACACGGGCACGCCTAAGTAGCCATCCGCAGCGGACGGGGGGCGGTACGGTGGGCACTAGGCCGCGTACTAAGCCCTCACGCGCGGGAAATTCTGCTCACACCTGCGCGGTCCCCGCGATACCCCGGGAGACCGCTGCCGTGGAGCTCGGGCTAGGCCGGGAGGCTGCTAGGTGCGGAGACGCGGAAGAATCCCTAAACGGGGATCCCACGGTTTCGCACTAAGCAGCTTAGAGGGTATTCTCAGGGTTTTTAGGGCTCCACGGGGTAAGGAATTGGGTCAGGGTAGGCAACGGCGCGAGATATCTTTTGTATCGCAAACATCTATAGGCTGCGTAGCTTATGCTTATTTGCCATCCTATTAAAATAAAATAAAACAAGAAGATAACTGAATACAAATAGATTAAATAGCGACAGTTTTTTTTATATATATTTTATGTAACTGCATTCCTTCGTTACAAGCTTAGATAAGACAATTGATTAATATTGTTAATCAATAAGCCAGGTGTGTAATAATATCAAATATTTATTGATCAGTATGATATATGTAAAACATTGCTGATAAAAGGAATGATTTTTATTTATTGCTATGTGCTCTTTCATATAATTGATAATATTTAGTACAAAGATAAAATCAATTTCTTATTATGATAAACTATTTATCGTTAGAACTTAAATAAAATCTCATGACACATAGGGTTTTCTGAAAAAGGGCATAATGTAACACACCATTAAAAGAATGTAATGAAAATAACTTAAAATAATAATAGGAGTTTACATTAAATTTTCACTCATAAAATATTATGAACTATCTACATTTAAGAAAAAAGCTTCTGAAAAACGCTAACTTAAGAGACCTGAGTTAAGTTTCTCAACTGTGTCAACAAGATCGCCCTAGGGCCCTTTTGTATCGTATTTCTACATAAATCAACGTCATCAAACAAAAAAAAATATGAAAGTTTCTATTTACACATACCTATTAAGTAAAAGATTTGACAGTAAATATTTTCACATTTCACAAAATAAAAGAGAAAGGTAAACCCTTAAACATAAAAATGTTGTAACAAACGCCCCAGGGGAAATACGATGTAAAGGACCATACCCTTTAAATATCTAAAGCATCAATCTACATCAATACAATTCTGAATCCATTTTGAATTATTAAAGATCGAATACAACAACTTTAACCACCTACATTGCAGCCAATGATGTCGTCATCGACAGGTCGCAATAACATAAATCAAGATCTCATTAACATTCCTTATTGAAAGAAACTCTGTTTTCTTTAAATATATATAATTCTCCTCTTTACACCTTCGCGTAAGGACAAAAATGCAAACAAATATTTCAGTCTTCATAAAAAACGCAATGCCAGCGTTCTGAAAATATAATATCCAGTTTTAATTGAGTAATTGCATGTCAAGATTCAACTCTGTTCAAGTTCCAGGTGTAGCGGAAAAGTTTCGTAAAGTTTTGCTTCTTTTTGCGTGATTCATTACAAAACGTTGAGTACAGTAGAACAGGTTCCGAGAAAATATCAAGTGATGTGTTTTGACTTAATTGATCTACATACACACACCAAGTAAAGACGAATATTATTTCTACTTGTGATCTTATTATTTATTAACTACGATGTGAAGTTAATTTTTTGGAAGTTCATTAGAATATTTTTTTTATTAATACATATTTAGGACGTTTTATGACAAAGGGAAAAACCATTAAAAGTTAAAATTGGGACAGTAAAGAAACGATATTACATAGCCTAATTACACCACGTGCGCTCAAAATGTGTCCCAATCAAAAAGTGCTTGAACACCACTGAAGCACTTCTTGATTCACAGTTACGCGCAGACCGTTGAAAAGTCGAAACGCAGAGCTCCGTGAAAAAATCGAAAAAAAAACTTATAGCACGTAATTTTTTTTTCGCAGGTACCTAATAAATTATTTTTTTTTAATTTAACGCATTTGAAGCAATTTTTGTTGTAATACTTACTATAAATTGGCGATTACGGGCAATACCTAAAATGCACACAATGGCGTGCAATTGGAGAGACCTATGTCCAACAGTGGACTGGGCTGTTGATGATGATAAAGAGTAAAAACTAAAAAATATAAACTAATGATGGGCAATTTATTACTTTAAAAAAAACTTATTAATACAAAGTAACGATAAACAGTTATAAGTATTTTGTATTAATAAGATTTTTTCGAAACCAAATTGAAAACTGAAACAAGATTGTTATAAATTTTAAGTGAGGGTACGCTAACATAAATAAAAAATATCACAAAGTTCGTGAGACCAAAACAGTGGTGACTTTTTAAAGCTCTTATAAACTTCTTAAAGCTTACAAGAAAGATTGAGATTCCCATATATTACGAATAACATGTATCTATTTTTGTTATTGCGTATGGCCTTGTTTTTTGAATAATATTAAAGCAGAGAAATAAATTTATAGAAAGCTGATGCATTTAGGTCGTCTTTCTAAACCTTCAGCTAAATTGTTCCTAAAATTGAATAGTGAAAGTTTAGCATTTACCACAACTCCCGGCTGGTATTTGACATATCGCTTTACCTGTACTGTTTCGCGTCCGCAAGGAATCGTAGTTCAACGTTTTTGCTATTTTCATTCAAGCACCGCATCGTACAGTTATCCCGCGGCCAGTGTTATTGACACAATGCAAGGTTAGCACGAGGTGGAAGCCCGCGCT